AGCAGCAGCGGTGCACGCACCCACGGAGGGCGGCTGGTGCCATCCCCACCCCCATCGCCATTCAGTCCGCCCATCATCGTGGCTTTCACACTCACGCCTGTCTTCACTTCTGTCGGCGCCACGGTGGTTGCCTTGTCTGACGGAGACACATGTTCTTCAGAATCGCCCAGAGAATTCTCGGAGTTCATCGGTGATTCTTCAAGACTGCTTACAGCCCCTCCTTCCTCTTTTCCGTGCGACTCAAGCACGACTGCGATACTTCCATTCGCCTCGGGTTCACCGTCCTTTGCCACCAGCACCTGAGTTGCATCGGGTCCTGCTGGAGAGGCGGAAGGAGGAGCGGGGAGGTCACCGGCTGCGGGGGTGGTGTTCGTTGCCATTGGGGTTGAGGGACTGGTAGTGGAAGGGATGCCGGCTGTTTGGGTGTGTTCCTCCTGCAGCCCATTGTTTACCTGTTGTTCCTGTTCTTCACTTATACGGCGCAAAGTGGTTTTAGATTTCTTTTCCTCTTTCTGGAGTTGTTGCAACGCGACATGATGGTCTTTGATCTGCGGCTGATCATCCCCCGGATGAGCACTGGTATCTTCTGCGAGCTGTTCAGGCATCTGCAGTGCAGCATCAGCATCTGTTCTCTGCTGATGCTCTTCTTGCAATTTACCCTCAGGAGTTTCGTTCTTCCGTTCCGCTTCCAGCAGTGCCAACTTCTCAGCCGTCCGCTGTTCAGCCTCCTTGAGTTGAGCCTCTGCATTTTGCTTCCTTTCTTCAGTTTTCCTTAGTGCATCTTCAACACGGCTCTTCTCCTGTTGAGCCTTCTGCAGCGCAGTTACAGCCTCTTTATTCTGCCTTTCAGCTTCTGTCAGCGCGTTCTGGGCAGCACTCTTCTGCTTTTCAGCCTTATCCAGCGCAGTTTGTGCCTCTGAGCTCCTTTTTTCAGCAGTTTTCAGCTCGATCTGAGCAACACTCTTCTGCTTTTCAGCCTTATCCAGCGCAGTTTGTGCCTCTGAGTTCCGTTCTTCAGCAGTTTTCAGCGCGGTCTTAGCAGCACTCTTCTGCTGTTGAGCGTCCAGCAGTACAGCCTGAGCCTCGTCCTTTCTTTTTTGCGCTTCCTGATGCGCGGCTAGAGCATCATCCATCACAACTTGGGCCCTCTTTTGTACATCTTCGGCGTACCCAACCACATATCCCGCGGAGGTCGCTGCTTTTCTGGCATTTATCCTCGCCGACGTTATCCCTTTGTATACATCATCGGCGGCAGTCGACGCAATTTCAGCTTCTTTATGTACCTTTTCGGCCCTTTCCATTGTCCTTTTGATGTACGAGACCGCCCCCTCCATGCCGGACTTATGGCGCTTTAACACTTCCTTCAGAGCATTCTGGATCTCTAATTTCACAACCTCTGCGTCCTCAGCTACCCCCCTCGCAGTATTTAAAAAACTGGCCGCCTTGCTTGCTGCTGCCCTTAGCTCCTCTGCCGCTGTGTCCGCGAACCCCACCGCTAAGCTGGCATTGCCCACTCCCTTTCCGGCGCTCTCTTCTGCCTCCTCGGCCTTCTTTATTTTCAGGATGTTTTCCCGTGCATTCTCGCAGAACTCCTTCGCCGTCGTGGCGTCATTCGATGCCTCACGAGTAGCTGTTTCCAGGTTTTTAATTTGGGCCGATACCTCTTTGGCCTTCAACGATGCAGAGTGCACATTAGAAATTACCTCACCCAACTTCTGTAATGCTCCCCGCACGGTTGTCTCCACGTTTTCAGTTTCGACACCCACCCCACCATCAGCTCCTCTCGGGTCAAACTCAGCAACTGCCTCCTCTGCAAGACGTAGGGCGTCCCTAGCACCCTTCAGCGCCTCTTTCATGGCTTCACTTGCATCCCTAGCAGAAGGCATAACATCCCCTAGAATACTCGTAGGAGACGCCATTTTACTCATTACCCCCACGGCTTTCACTTTTGCAGCCTCACTTTTCTCCGCCGCACTGCTCGCGCTCGTCACTGCCATGGCAGCTGCACTCTTTATCTCCACCTCGCGCTTCACTTTATCGTCGGCATCGTTCAGTTTCTCCACCGCTGCCCTCTGGGATGCATCAGACCATTCCGCTGTCCCTATTAACGCTTTCAACAGTGCCTTCTCATCACTTTCAGCCGCATTACTTCTTCCATTCGCAACAATCACTGCAGCATCAGCTGCACCTTTGGATAAAGTGGCACTCTCCAATAACGTCTTAGCTGAGCCTACCTCCACCAAAGCTTTTTGAACATCCGAATCAGCCAAACTGAATTCCAGCATAGCTCTCTCCACTTCCTTATCGGCATCACTCAATTTCGACGTGGCAATCTCCACACCTTCATCAGCTTTCTTCAATGCAGCAGTGGCTTCATCCATTTCCTTCTCAGCTTGCGCTGCCGCCAATGCCTTCGCTTCCAATGTTTCCAGCCCAGCGCCCCCCGCCGCTTCCGCTCCTCTCGAGGCAGAAACACCGGCGTGGCTTCTCCGCCCCACGGCGGGCGCCAACACATGTTTCCCGGGCACCGCCTCCGGCCAGGGTGGCCCATCGCCTGTGGCAGCCGCAGCCGTCACACAGACACAAGCGCAGCAGAGGGCAAGTCCCAGCAGTACAGGGCGCACCATCATCACTCCTCCTGCTCGCATCATTACTGC